GATCATTTATGAAGAAAAATATTACTATGTCTATGATTTACCAAAATCTCTGTGCTTTGGCCCAGAATTTTCCTTCAGAAGAGAAGAATGTTTGCTTCCCTGTTTGCAAAATAAGGGTTAACAATACACACAGAAGCCTGAAGCTAGTACTAAATCTTAGCTTTCTACTTACCAGATGCCACACAATTCTGATCTATCCCAGGACATGCTCAAAGCTGCTAAATTCCCAGTTAGGATGCATAACAAGGTCCGCAGCACTCTTTTTAACTTGGCCTAAAAATACATTATGATGTATAGACAAAAATGTTATTTTTTAACACTTTTTTATCTAAAGATACTTTCTGGGAAAGTTTTAGCTTTAACATTTTACTTGCAATCACAATAAAAAGCTTCAGTCTTTTGGTATTTTCATCACATGTGTTACCAAGTATGCTCTACTGTTTGCATGTGGCACATGCATAGCAGGTGGAAGGAAAGTGTTTTCTGTTCCAGCTACTTTTTAAGGAGTCACATGTATTATTTGAGACAAATGTTTGTCTTGATTCTGAAGATGTGGAAAAAATACCTTTAAATAATAGAATTATTTTGTCAATTATCCCTATGTCACCCTTGCAAAATGCTATTACAGTGACTGAAAGAGAGAACATGGTTTCTACCTCTTTTATGTTTCACCATTAGTTCATTTAACACAGTGGAATATTGGCATGATGAAAACAATTTTTTAAGTAATACTACTTATGTGTGAAAAGGTAACAGAGAACATAAGTATAAAAATAAAATATTAGTAGTTAAAATTATGCAGATATTCAACAGTGTTGTGCATATTCACCTAAAATTTACTTTATGAAAGTTTTTGAAGTTCCCTAAAATTATGCTTCTCTCTTATCTAACAAATACAGAAGGCTTTTGCATACAGGCCAAAGTATGTCATCAACCATTCCTTTCCTGAGCAGTAATTCTCCCTTTAGATTCCGTTTTAAAATCGGAATTTCTCAGTACTAGTACTATGGAAAAGGACATCTTTTAATCTATTTCTTTTCTCATCGGACACTGTAGTTCAACATAAAATCCCTGGGTATCCTTCCCAGAGCAACATGTGGCAGACACCCTGCTGTTCTGAGCAGGGCCTTGGAAGAAAGCTGGATGAGAGTTTCCCCGATGTCCAAAACTCGGAGTTTGTTTTATACTCCTCCTGGTCTGGTTAGTGGATGAAATGGTTGTTTCAAGCATGACAAATTTTATCCTTCTAAGTTTCTAGTTCAATTACATAAGTAGTTGTTTTGGACTGTGACTGAGCCAAGGGCTTTAATTTCTTCTTTTGACAACATTTTCCATATGGTAATACATCGATATGTAAGTTCTTATGACTTTTTAACTCCTTCTTGTGTTTCTTTTTTTTTTCTCCCAGGAAATGTTGCATCTTTACTCTTGCATTGTGATAATGGACTTAATTTGTTATCTCTCCGTTCCTTTTCACCTATCTACAATGTGACCCATGCAACTCACATTATAAACTAAACAGACCTAATATTCTACATGCTTCCTCCAAGAGTCTATGAGACAGTTTAGTGCAGGAAACCCTTAGCTAATGTAAATATTTGATAACAAGTGAATATATCAAATATTTGATAATAAGCAAATATATCATTTCAGTAGTGGCCTGATTGTTGATGAAAGAATACACCTCAATTCTACTACAAACTGTATATACAGCTGCATGCCAGTTTTGAAACTTTCTTTCCTAGGGTGCTGCTCTGACTTAAAAACTTAAAAACTGAGCTTTTTTTCCTATTAGAAAATGGTTGCTATTATGTATAAAAGCAACAGAAAAATGCAATGTCTCTGTGTCCTTAGTCTTTCCCCCCCCCCCCAGATATTTTAGAGTTAAACACCTTAAATGTCACCAAATTGGCTTGCATCTGGGACAGTGAGCAGGATAGATCACAACAAGAGGTTTTTCTCTTAGTGTGCTGGATATAATACAAAATCTGACTGTTCTCACAGTATTGTGAAACTTGGTATTTTATTCCATCTGGTATCATCACAGAAAAACATGGAAATGAACATATTTTGGGCAACTCAAAAGATTCCTTCCTTGCCCAGTTGTTTAATATGGGACTACGTGACTGGCAGCTTGTTAGCTGCTTTGCCAGATGCTAAACTGAAAACATTTAAGTCCAATTCAAAACAAGAGATCATCTCTCAGAACTAATCACCTTGGTCTAGAGCAGTAACTACCTGGAAAAATAGCTGCTCCCATTCGCACACAGTAGAGCACATCAGCTTTTTATTTATTTATTTTTATTTTTATTTTAGTAATGATGCATAATGTTCCTTTAACATTTTATTCATCCATATAGCCAGAAAAAAAAATACTGAATTTCTTCTTCAAACATCCAATATATGCTGAATGTACTAGCAGTGAGACACTGAATAGCTTTCTATATACACATACATGTGCAAACACAAGGAAAGGAAGGGCTGGTTCTCGTGCATAGAAACATTCCATCCTTCATATTGCCACCACCACAACTGAGGTTTTCTGCCTTTATTTATTTGGTATGATGTATAGGACATGAACAGTACCCTCTTTATTAATGATCTAATTATATTTTATTTCTGTTTCCAGTCTGTGCCTGTGTAATGGAAATTAGTTATGAAATTTGTCTTCCTTTTCATACCTATTTGCTTTCATTAGTGTAGGAGGAAATCATGACTGCCATTAAATAAAACAAAAATCTCTTATAATGTTGTCTTAGACAATAAGAATCAATGAACTATTGAACTGTAACTGAAGCTTTATCCAAACTAATTTCTCTGTTAGTGTTCAATGAAAATAACTCAATCTTTAGTACACTATTTTGTATCACATTTCAAGCCTAATGTTTTCAAACGCAGAAAAAAACTTCTAGGATCTTATACTTTTTCCCGAGTATGATAGCGAAGATGATCTCAGTACAAAAGAAAGGTCACCACCAAAAAAAAAAGATTATTAGATTTCTCCTTTTTACAACTTAAGAAAAATACTGATTTTTCATTAAGCACTGCATATAATGTGTGGAATAATATCTCTATTAATAAACATGAACATACACACCAGTAAAACATGGACAACAGAGTTTTTTGAATGAAATTAAGTCATTAGGATCTATTTCTTTCACGGTTCATTTACTCCTAACTTGATAAATATTTCTGATTGTGATAAATGTTTCTGATTGTCAGTTTTACCTTAAACATTCTTTCTTTGTGACTATTTAAACTTGAGAACATTATTTAGAAATGCATATGCATGTTACAGAGAGGCTTTCAAAGAAGACAGACAGTCAGATGGAGGAACCTGGAATCATGCACGCTGTTGTGTGAACATCATTCATTTCCTCAGCTGAATGAGGCATCCTGAGGTCAACTATTCACTTACCACTTAGAAACAATCAGAAAGTGTTAGATTTAGCCAACAGAGATTATCTTCAATATTTTATCTATCACAGTTAATTACATTCATTAGAGCAGTTAGTTCTGAAGTACAGAGCTCCAGGGCCTGAATTTCACAAGGTTTGCTCCGTATAGCAGTTCCACTGCACAGCTATAAAGACCACAGACTGTTCAGGATTATTTTGGCACTGCAGGTTGAATGTAAACCCAGTAAAAAAAATATTTAACATACATGGCCGTATTTGAAAATGAAGAATGTCAAATTTTTCTGTAGAGTTGCATCTCTACAGCATTTTCACAAGACCAGTGCTGCAAGCTACAATGGCAAATCTCATGATTTGTACCAATGTGCACAAAGAATTTTTGATTGGTTGGTTTCATGGTCCATTAGGATCAAATGAGACTGTGTTCCTCAGCAAAATTAATATTCAGTAAAGGCATCCACCTCATTGATGATTCTGTACAAAGCAAAAAGGATATCAGGACTTCTGGTGGCTACTCTTGTTCTCAGTGAAGTTACTATCATTATTTTTCCAGATTTCGGAGAGTTGAAATAGTAATATTTAGAATAGTAATATTTAACTCTCATGAAGACTAAAAGCTACAGACCAAAAGTGGCAGGTTAGATTCAGTTTTGCTATAAGTTTACCTTCAACAAGTCAGTTACAGTACCTTGGCTTCTCTATCTTCACAGGATTTTATCATCAGCAAAAGGAGAACTTTCATTTTTAAGTGCCATTGGAGCATCCAATATATTTCATACTATTTTCCTCTCTATCAGTCTGTTTAATCAGTGTACTGGCAAATACAATAACTTCAAGTATTTATTTTGGCCTGCTTGCAAATTGTCCTGGAAAACAAGTACCAAACTATTTTAAAGTTTGTCCTTTGCTAAAAATGGAAGGCAAATATTTTTCTCCAGTATAATAAATTGGGGACAAATGGATAAATTTTCATCAGTTTTGTAATAAATGAAGAATTTGATGTTTTCCTGTCTCTTGTTGAACATACATTGCTGAAATGCATATATATCGTTCATAACCAGTAAATGTGCAATCATCTTGGAAAATTACACATAAAAACCTATCACATAGGTGACTAAGCATGTACTAAAAGTATACTAACAATTTACCTTAAGGCCCAATGGACTTTTTAAAAACATTGAAATGTTTTACCATGTACAGATACAATAAAATCACTTTGGTATGTAGGTAGATCATGCTTAACTTGATTTCCACAGACAAGTATTATGGATATATTGGTTGAGGAGAATATTGATTGTAGCTCTGGCATTGTTCTGCAGAAACATACACAATATTCTTCACTGTAAAAGAGCACAACAAACCAAGTTGCCAAACCATGTACTTCAGAAGCAATCATTGCTAGATCAAAACCATATTTCTAGCATAACTCAGAGCTATGCCCAATTGTTGCTTAATATGTTTCTTTATACATTGTAAAGAGCAAAGCTAGAGCTTTCCTGATCCAGAGTCACCTGGTACAATAGTAAGTACATCCTATTTGCCCAAAAGTAAATATAACCCCAAAACCTGGCTTCCAGTCAGGTACTTGTCATTTGAGCTTATTTTCAGCAGTTTCTTGTTTGTAAATGATTAACTTGTTTTAGTTCACACTGCTAGGATTTCTTAAATGTTCCATAAGTGTCCTTCTGGTGAGTTTAGTTCAAATGGCAGTAGTAACCTGAGTCAGTCCTAGGTCATTGGATTCTTCTCTCTCTTGATGACAGTAAGACGACATTTCCACGACTAGTCATACAGGTTTGTTTGTCCCATCTGCTTCCCGCATATAAGCTGGATCTTGCACAGTGTTTCTGACTCTACTGGTGCTCTGCCTGTCCATCCTCATCTTAAATGGGAAACAGAAGTCCTTGAAACATCTCTTGAAGTTTTCATCCAAGAAAGCATACAAGATCGGATTGAGGCTGCTATTGGTGTAACCCAAAGCAATACAGAAATAGTAGCTGGATATAGCTGCAGTACTATGAGACACATCCCCCAACGCTTCAACCAGCACAAAAATGTGAATAGGAGTCCAGCAGATAATAAATACTGCCACAACCACAAGAACTAATCTGGTGATGCGGCGCAGGTTTCGGTCTTTCTCTCGAGAGCCCGAGAGAAGCCGTACACTTTTAAGACGCAAGATCATCAAAGTGTAGCAAACAATAATAATGAGAACTGGAATAACAAATGCAAAGACAAAGACACAGATTTTCATGAAGGTGTCCCACCACATGTAATCTCTGTCTGGAAACTGCAAGGAACACTCAGTGCTAGCAGTATCTAAAAATAAAAGAAACAGGAGAATAAAATTGTGTTATTATAACATATGCAAAACAATAATATTATCATACTATAAGCTAGAAAAAGCTATTATCAGGTAAGGTGGTAAATGGAGTTATTACATCACTCCAAAGAAAGCTTTCAATTACAATTGAAATTGTCTCTCGAAATTACTTAGAGGGATTTGGGCTTTTTAAAATGTATAACACTATACAGACTTTGTCTCCCATAGGAGGAGATAAAAATGCAGAGGCACAAAAATAAAAATGTAGTAAGATGGGTTGAACACTTATTTTCCTTTGAATTTCATTGATATTTAAAGCCAGAAAAAGTACCCTGTTAACAGAATACAAATTTCACAGTTATTATTGAGCTATATATGTGTTTGCCTTTGGGAGGAGGGAGATTTTTGGTATCATGAATGGTGGGAGCTGAATGAGGTTTTTGGTTGTAGGAAGATTTTGTCAGTATGTGATAATTGTGTAATAATGTTTTCCCATGTGCCTTCTTCAGTGCAAATGAAATACGTGCAACTGCTTGCATTCAGAAAACTTAGTTCCTGGCAACAGCTTCGTTTCATTTAAAATAGGGACAGAGAAAATGTGTGCTTGTTCAGAGTCAAATATAATCTGCTTTTTTCCACAAACCATATCACTGAAAATTCTGCCTGTGTATGGCCTGCAGGATCTGGCCTACTCCATTTCTTCTTGCCCATAACAGGATACAAAGTCACAGGCTACCAAATTATTTGATGTGCTAGTAATAATCCATCTGGCAGGAAACTACTGAGGAAATAAATATTTGAGGTTTCACTTGCTGACCTTGTTGAAGCCTTCCATCATATAAACTATATGGGAAAAAAAAAAAAAGAAAAGCCCTTGCAGGAAACAAGACAAATCAGAAAGCAAAATAAGGGATAAATTTCCAACAAATATCAGATGAACTCCCCTGTAGACAAATCAAAGTCACACAGGGATATTTCACTCTGAATTGTAGTTTAGATTGCATCCACTGGAGCACTGCATTATTCCTAGAGTGCATTCATTTTCCCTACCAAATTCACCATTCCTTAACAAGTTATTGTATCTTGGCTCTTATTGAATCAGTTAAAAATGGAAAAAATCAATATATTGTTGCACATCACATTTCATATCTATCTCCAGCAGAACCAGTCAGAGAAAATTCCCTCAAACCATATTTCCTTGATATCTGAATGCCATCAAAGAGATAGAAGGGCAAGGAGAAAAAAGTTATTATTGTTATATCACACAGACATTTGCAAAGTTAGATAGCAGAAAACTGTTACCTGATCATATTGAATGCCAGATTAAAAAGCTGAAGCTAAAGTAAAACATTTTGATTCTTTGTTATAAAGAATACAGTGACTAATGGACAATTCTGAAGGCTGAAGAGTAACAAGACAGATCGTACAAGGTTGATGGAGAATGCTAAGCTGACAGCCTGATTTAGTTCTTAGTCAAGAACTGGTATAAATCTTCTGTGATCTATTCTTTTATTCAACTTTATCCTAGAAATACCAAAAATCACCTTCAAAGAAGTCTTCACATTGGTTATTGCTGTTATCTGTAGCATGTCATGGCCTAGCAACTGCAATGAAGTTAGGATTCAGCCACACCAGCACAGCTTCAATCGCATGTGCCCGTCTGGGTCAAGCTGGGGTGTGATCAGTGCTAAATGCTCTGGACCACATCCAGCTGCTCACATCAAACCTCCCTGCCAGGGGACACTGCTTCTTCAGCTCTGCTATCTTAATTTCACATGTAGTTAATCTCTGGCTCAGATTTATCAAAATAATTAAGTTAGAATAATCGGTGGTGTTTAAAATGTGTATGCTAGACAAATCACTGTGACAAAGCCATGGGAAGTTGTATGAATGGAAACAGCGACAGACCTGAAGGGACAGAAAATTATACCATGAAGCTGGTTTAACAGCTGGAATAGTGTTGGCAGCATGAAACATTTCAGCTGCAGCTGGAAAAACAAATCTAACAACAGTCCAATAATAATCCCATACCAAAGGATTTCCAGGGATGGAAAAGGAAAGGCCAGAAATTAGTCCAACATTTTCCAACAGGTAATCTTTGAGTAGGAATGACAATTTACCAGAATAAAGTATTTCACTCATGCATGCTAGTTCTGATCAAAAACAACTGATCAAAAACAATAGCAAAAACACAAAAAGATTTGACTATAAGTGAGAGGGCAATGTAGAACTCAGATTTGATGCATAACAAAGGCAAAAATCTATTTTGCTTACAAAAAGTCAAATACATACCACAAAATATACTAGTGAACTCCTGTACTTGCCTTTTCAAAGGAGTTTAAAATTTTGATTAAATATGGACATGCTTGCTATGCTTTAACATGATTTGAGAGATACTTTAGAATTTCAAATAATCAAACACAAATTTAATTTTTTTTTTTGGATCTCACTGTTGCTTACTTTCTATGCAAAAACTCTTTTCTGAAATTCATTAATATTCATGTGTTTAATTTAAAGTATATAGTACAATGGACTGCATGCAAATCCAGCTTACAATCATCTGGCCATCAAAGATCCTTGGAAAAGATGCACAATACCCTTACCTTTTCCAGCAACTTGGGAAGATAATAAAATCCAATTTTATTCTTATGACAATCAGGAATAGTTGCACAAAGTGAGCGCTTCAGATTTCATACTGACCTTTCTCACACATTAAGGAAAGTAGCTATTTCAATGAAATTAATTATTTAGAGAAAACTACTGAATTTTACTTAGTATTTTAGTATATTTTAAAATGTGTTTGATAACTTACTGTCTAAAATTATTTTTTAATCCTTACGCAGATAGCATATTTCTGACAGATACAATGAATTACCTCCACGTCTAAGTTTCCACGCTCTTTCACACGGAACTGGAGTCTTCATAGTACTAATAGTACCTCTTTCTTTCTCTCTTTCTTCCTTTTTTTTTAAAAGTGAATGAAGTGGGTGAATTTTTAGCAAGGAAGACCCCACTAAGGCCAGAGAGGGAAAATTACACACATGTGAAATTTACTTTGCAGGTAAAACATACCAATCCCATACTATGAGTAAAAAAGGGACTAACTGGAAAATTCAGATAGGCACATTTCCTATTTAATGTTTAGCTGATGCCCAGTGTGAACCCCATAGAGGTCCTGTAGTATCTAAAAGCAAATCTCACTAACAGAAATTAACATTTCAGTCCTGAGCTCCAGTTGTCAGGCAAATGGAGTATCCCTGCTGCATCCCCATTTATCAGATCAATTTGTGAACACACTAGACTAGGAAACTGGCAATAAATGCTCAAGAGAGACCTTAGATTAGACAAGCAGGGCTGAATAATAGGGGCTGAGCACATTTGCCCATAACTTCAGAATTCATTTTGCCTAGCGGAGATATGTATTATTAGTGTCTGTTTTAGAGGGGAAAAGAGAGGCTCCTGCCACAGATCATGAGAAATTTCACTCATTTCTGGACTCAGTGTAGCCCCCTGTTCTAAATGCAATGGTTATTTTGAATAATAGGAATATTCTGCTAGTTAGGCATGCTCCAAACAGAACACCTGCCTGAGCCGATGTTTCAGAGCCTTGAACACTTCATATGTACAAGTCAGACAATTATTCTTTAATCATGAAGACGACTAAAGGTTAATTTTTCCTGAGCCAGACATAGTCTTAGAGAGCCCGTCAAAACCTTACTAGAAGAGTTATAGTGCCACAGAGCAGGACACTTGATGTCCTACAGGGCTGAAAGTAATGTTTCTGGAGGACTCTCCTAGCATCTACTTATCAGAAGACCAAGACCAAGACCAAAATCTGTACTTCTTGAACAGCAGCCAAACACATTGGCTCTTCAGAGGTTGTTAAAGTACCTTGATGTTTTGTTGGCATTTATCTATGTCAAACAGTTTCATTCTGAACATGTTTTCACTGTTGGATAAAAGTGTCCCATAAAATGTATTATTTCTCTTGGAAGAAGTGGGACATTTCCATTAGAAAAGATTTTCAGTGTACATTTTCAATGAAGATTTTCAAATAATCTTCAAAAGATTATTTACATTTCAAACAACACTGCCACCAAAATAAATATGCATGACTTCTTGTATTTTATTGAGCTGTCAATAACAGGTTAAGCTCAGCACAGGGACATCATTAGAGGCCTCAAGTCTTTTGAAAACACAGAGCTGTTCCTGCTTCGTGGGTTTCGTGCTTGAAAGTATAAAGCATATGTGTGTTAGAACGATTCTTCCCTTTCCTTTCCAAGCAGGATTTCAAAATAAGTTTAACTCCCTAGATGGTTGGCTTTGTTTATGAATCACTAGCTAGAGGGACTAAATCTGTAATCCTTAATGAATTAGAAATTTCAAGTAAAGTCTACAGGTGCCCTGCATACAGATCTCATTAACTCTTGTATTCTTGTAGTTTTGTCTCCAGCATACTCTATTCCCAGTCACCCACTGATTTTATTCTTAACCTTTCCAAGTGCTTATCTCCATTCCTTTCTACACCAGAGTTTATGATACTGTCTTTCTTACGGCATTTAGCTCAATTTTCTCTTTCTAGCTAGTGACTTCTTTCCTTCTTTCACCTTTCCTTCCTTTGTTTGGTGAATTGGCTGTTTATAATCAACTCCAAGGTTTTTAAACTAATGATTTTATTGCTAATACTAAAGAGAGGCAAATTAGTTTTTGTTTCTGGAGCTACATGAAAACTACTCTCACAAAACAGATAAAAAGCACTTTCAATCCACATTTCAAGTTTTGTCCTAAGCTGGTCTTTCATCTCTCCATAGTGTTCAAATTCTTGATTACTCTTCCCTGCTGGTCACTCTCAGTTTTTGATGGTCTCATCCTTGCAAAGACAATATTTCAAAGTGCATTTGTTTCTTTTATTTGGCAATGGCATCTGAGCTTACGTTATTTACATATGATACTCAAATGTTCCACAATATATTTTAAAGTATCAGAAATTTAGACATACATTTTTAACCAAGGATTGTGGATGACATTTTGCACGCAATATGATGGCATGCATAAATTTCCGAAGTGTGATTCAATCTAGTTTAGTCAATATTCCAAGCTACGTTTTGTATTATTTGAGAAACACAAAACAACTTTAATTTGAATGTTCTTACCTACCTTCTCTGACTTTGGTTCCTCCAAGAACTATGGCAGATATGCCAACAGATGAGGACAGTAGCCAGATACAGATGTTAATTATTTTTGCCTTGAGAGGAGTACGGAAGTCCAGAGCTTTCACAGGGTGACACACTGCAATGTATCTATCCACACTCATCATAGTCAGTGTGAATATGCTAGTAAACATGTTATAATAGTCAATCGAAACAACTATTTTACAGAGCACATCTCCAAATGGCCAAGAGTTCATCAGGTATTCAGTGCTTTGGAAGGGCATAGTAGTGGTAACTAGAGCATCTGCCAAAGCCAGATTGAAAATGTAGATGTTGGTTGCTGTCTTCATTTTTGTATATCTGAAAAGCAAAAAATAAGGCCTTACTATAACAAAATGTTGTTATATCAGCAGATTCAAATATATAACAATTTATCAGGGAACCTTTGCCACAGATAGAATTTCTCTGTAATTTCTAATTTGTACAGAAGGGCACATATTCAGGCCCATTGGGATGACAGTGAATGCATTTCACTCAGTCCCTCAGCAGCTGCATTATCAATTAAAACTCATCACACCCAAAAACAAATATATGAATGAATTTAATCAATTTTTCTCAAATGCTGGTTCCATCTTCTCAAATCCTCAGCTTTCCTCAATTTTACTTCCTAACACAAATCGTAAAGCGTGGAGATTGTTTAAATAGGAAATCTCAATGGAGAAAAAAATCCTACAAATAATTCCTTGGTATCCTTTAATTTCATTCAAATGAAATACTTAACTGATAAGATCCTTAACTCCCACAGAACAGTAGGAGCCTGTTTTTGAGAAAACAGGCTGCCTTTGCTGTGTCATAATGATAATCTAACTGCTGGGGCTACAACTTGTATTCCAGGATGCAGAGAACTGTTTCGGACTCTGCTATGGACCCCAAGTGTGAAGGGCAGCCTATGTTTTTTCCCCATTACGAATACAGGGACATACTTAACACTCCTTTCTGACATACCTCCTTTTCCTTCTCCTTAAGTAGCTGATGTTGCTCATGAGTACTAGTCACTTACAAGATTCAATGCCAGATTTTTCATGCTTAAAACTGTTTCACCTGCATTGAATATGTGCTCTAACTAAAAGGTTCACATGCAAAGCACACAGAAACATGTCTAGCCAGATTTTGCTATGCATCATTAAGTAATTTAAACATGGAAATATAAGACTTGGCCACTCCAGCTAATGAACATTATACAGCATAATGTGTTTAATGGCCTTTAAAACATTTACATGAAAACCTTCAGCAGTATTTTACAGTACTGACAAATGAATCTGCTAAACAGATTAATTTTTAATCAAAATATGAACAAAAATGCCAGTTTATGACCAACATAAAGCCTTAAATAAAATTATCAGTTTTTATACATCACTCAGATTACAACTTGTTGAGAATATTAAACCACCTGCTGTTTCAAAGCATAGAAAAGAGAACTGCAAGGGAAGAGAAAGTAAACTGTTCTCACTCAGATCCCCACTCTACTTGGTACAAGCTATACTCCATCCCTCTACCAGCTGCTGCAAAGGACTTCAAGTGTTCCTCCTACTTGGTTCCTGGGATCATGTTGTCTGCTGCCTGATGTATAGTCCAAATCGAGGGTTCTATCTTGAATGAAGCTACAACAAGTGATGCTGTAGGAATATCTGGTCAAAGAGAACCAGAAAGAAGTAGCAACAAAAGCTCTATAGGTGCTGCATGACCCCATGGTCCAAACTCCCTCTGCCTCAGACGAGAGGTAGAGCCACAATGAGAGCCCAGGCATCAGTCAGAGCTGGACATCTCTAGCTCTTCCAGATCAATGTCCCATATAAGCTTTCCAGCAAATAAGTTGGTGTGTCCTGTAGTTCACATTGTAGCCTGTAAGACACTGTTGAAACACAATGCAAGGGTGTATAGCTGGGACAAAGCAATATAAGACATTTAATAGACTAAGAATTTTCCTCCTGGGGAAGAAAAGCAGCTCTGAATGCAACCAATTGGTCAGACTGGACAAAAACTCACTAAAAGTTTAGACTGCAAATCTGTGCTAAGATGGACTAATTTCCATTAAATGTCTGAAGGAGGAGATGTAGAAAGGCACTTTTGCTTCTATGGATAGCACTGATGAAATTCGGAATTGCTATCTTGTTCAGAGTGCAAAAAAAAAAAAGAGAGAATATAGAAAGTTGGAAAGCACACATAAAACTCACAAAAATAACTGAAGAGACTGGAGGAAAATCTTTCTGTGAGTAGCTTAAAGTGCTCAATACATTTGGTTTACCAAAAAAAAAAAAAAAAAAGCACACACACACACAAAAACCCAGAACCACTGAGGTGACTTGATTACAGTGTCAAAAGACCTCTGCAGGGAGAAAATAGCAGGTGCTGAAGAGCTCTTTCAGACTGCAGAGAAAAGCATTACAAGGAACAATTCGTAAAAGTCAAAGCTAGACAAACTCAGCTTAGAAACAATGATGGATTTTTCCTAACAACCAGGATGATTATTTTTTGGAACAAATTACACAGGAAAGGAGCAATTTTTCTATCTTTTGATGTCTTCAAATCAATGTCTGACACTTTGCAAAAAGTTATGCTTTCGTCAGGTACAAGTTACAAGGCTCAATGCAGAAATATTTAAACGAAATGTAATAGCCCGTGATAAATAAAGGTGGAATGGCTAATAGCTCTTCTGAATCATTACGTCTGTTTTTCTTTAATGGCTTTTCCAAATTTGGAACATTTTACTGTTGCATATACAAGAATTTCTTTTATTTTTCTCCTTTAATTTAAATTCAAAAATTACAATAAAGAATAATTTCGGTGGACTTCTATGTATTATATAACACATACTTCACTAATAAGAGAATTCTACTATATTTGATAAATTATTTAGCTGAAATCCTTAATATCTATCATTTCCTGTCAATCTTAATTCTACATATTTTTTGTGCAACACTGTGACATGGCTTAGTTATGAGATCATATACTATATTTTCCCTGTATCCCCTTTCCTTTCCTTTGAAGTGGCAGAATATGAAAGACCCTCTGTAAAATAGAACTAATCTTTTAGACAACTTCAGGATCCAAATTTTTGAAGCTGAAATATCAATCACATTCTCTGTGCATACATATATTCTTTATCGGATATTACACAGTTAAAGTGAGCAGTTTAGGTTTGTTGAACGATACAATACACACATATGTACGAAAATTAATTTTTCTCACTGCATCGATCCCACAGGAAGGATGTTTCATCATTCATAGGTAATAAGTAATATATATTCATCCAGTCATCATCATTTAGGCAACTTTCAATGCATCTGAATCAAAGCTGTAAATAGGAGAAAATACATAGTAGAAAAAAAAACTCCACAGCTGGCCTTCCATCAGCTTTGAAAAGCTTTATTGTTTTTATTTTCCCAGTGACACATTCATTGAACAGCCTCATCTTTGACGGTCTTACCAACTGTTCACCTAATGCTAACACCACAACTAACCAGCCTGGTGTCAGGGGTACCTAGCTCAGTAACGAAGGGCTCACTGGACAGACATTGCAGTGCTAAGTCCACGCAATTTTGAAAGTTTGAAACAAGATTCATAAGAGTCTTGATTCTAACATAAGGCGAGAGATTTGACTTGCAGCTTTTCAACAACTTTTCTAGCTTTCCTACAGCTTTTTCTATGACACTAACATACAGGTGGCAATATTGTATATAGTTTGGGTTTTCCCCCGCCTTTACTTCACCCAAGCATGCACTTAACCAAGGTGAAAATTTTGATGGCGTAAGGGAAGTATATTTTCCTTTGCAAAATTGAAATTATTGTTTGAAGAGCTGAATGTCATTTAAGGGGAAAATATCACTACCTGCTTCAATTAGTCTAGCAGAGCAGATATGGGCTACCTGAGCATAGCAGCATCATAGAGGACATACTGGTAATTAATGACAAACATTTTCTTAGCATCCCAGAGATAAAAATTTCAGAAATCATTAATATACTTATTAGATGTTGCTATATAAACTGTTCACTGCAAATTATGTGTCTAGAAAATGGTTTGTTAAATGCGCATAAAGTGACAGCTTTTCTGATACTAGAAATGAATGGAACATCGCTCTTTTAAAATGGATGCTAGAATATAATTTCAAGAAGCAGAGTAAATTCTGATGACTTGAATGAGTTGGTAGTTCTTGAGACTTCTTGCTAAGCTGTAAGGACTCAAGTCTCTGCGGGATGTAAACAGTAGGAAGGTATATGAAGACCCAGCAGAAAAACAGAGCCAAGATGAAATCTTTTGTTTGGATATATTTTGGATGACTTTTTAAGGGGCAAGGTTAAAATGATGTCTACTTATATATCAGAAACAAAATTCTTAAAACCATGACAATTTAGCCTATCTACTGTTTTCAAAATTCTCCAAGACTGGCTTTAGACTGACCCTTAGACAATTTCCACAAGTCCTAACTTCACTTACCATTATGGAACTTTTCTTTCTGGAGGGAAGTTTATTTGGCACACCATTTTAAGACAGTAAATAGGAAGAAATCACAACTCCATTATATCAATTATTTTTTTCATTATAAAAGAAGGAAGCATGCTATTAAGAAACTAATATGCTTTCGGAAAAGATCAAAAGGCCCAAAGTTTGCTAGGAGAACATTTTAATATCTCAGGCAGAAGGAAGGAGTGTGGTTAAAAAACACAGAATAACAACATAACTTTAATAAAGTCAATAAAATCTAAGAAAACTCCTTTATTTTTCTTTTTTCTTTTTCTTTTCTTTTTTTTTTTTAGTTTGGTACTCTGAAATGTTCCCTACAGCCTGAAATTTGAGATGAGGTTTTTTTTAGCAACTCTAGAAAACATACCACAAAAATGTTCTCCAGTAATGGTAGCATACCAAACTACAAAAGCATGAAAAATAACAAAGTGTAACAAATACATATTTTTGGCAGATACCTGAGTCATTGAATGAAAATAAAGGCTAAAGCGTGCATAAAAGCAAGCTGCAAGAACACCTATCACCAGGATGCAGGCTCTGTTCCACTAGGTTTCTCTGAATTATATATACAGAGGATCAAGCAACTGAAAAGTTTAGTCTGAAAAACCTAATCTCATGATTACATTCATGGCACACTCTGAATATAATGTTGAATCATTACATTAAAAAAAGAAAAAAAAGATAACCATCTATTTCAAAAACACATCAATTTAATACGATGGCTCTGCTATGTTTTGATACCTAAAATTGCAACAAAAAATTTTATGCCAAAATGAAATCAAGCTTGAGGTTATTGTAAAGAATGTAAAAATCAATATGTTGCAGTCTCCTTGTTCAC